TTAACAACCGAGCATTGCAGGTTTGACAGCTTTTTGCCCAACCAGCACCACCTTCCCTGGAAAAGCTCCACCCTTGCCTATGGGGCAAAACATAAGGGACAAAAACACAAAACAAGACAGATAAAAAACAAAACAAAATGAACTCATTACCTAATGAAGTACAGTCTGGAGCAAAAACATAGGTAATAGGTATCTATGTCAAATTAGAATGAAAGATTAAAATCAACCTGACCAGGTCTTACAGTCTGACCTGATCCTAACCGCCTTACTTCACCTAACTTAACCCAATTCAACCTAACCTACCACAACACCTGCAGAAGTACCTTCCTGGAAAATGATGCCTAGGGAGGTGTCCAATTGATTGGAATATTACCATGATTGCTTGTCAAAATGTGTGTCATCATGCTCTTGTTTGACAAGTGATGTATAATAAATGTGACATTCAAAAATGGTCTCCTGACTTGAGTGACCAGAATATTCAAATGATCAGGGTACAATGCTGTGCATCATAGTGCACACTAATCATGCTGTTTTTGTGTAGGCCCTCTGTGCATTATTGTGTACACTGCCATGTGCACCTTAAGGAAAAAAAGTGACTGGTGGTACAAGAAAAGGGTTGCGCAACTGTGAAGTTCATGCCCTTGGTCTTGCTGGAGTCAAATGCCTATAGCTATAGCAGGATCAGTGAGGGCTGTAGACATGCCACATACACTGTGAATTGAAGATATTGGCACAAAGTTCATCCATAATTACTATGCTTAACACCAAATGTAAGAAGCAACATAAATGCCCAGATGATACAGCTCTCTGGTCAACATCACACAAATTTATTGACATACTTTGCAGGTACATATTTACATTAATAGCAAATACTTTCGATTTGATTCAATAACTAGGTGCTAGTAAGCTTGCATTTTTGTAGGTACAACAATGAACATATATTTAATCATAAAAAAAACTTTATCGTCGCATTCATCACATACCTTTTTACTGAACAAGTACATATCTACCATGCAATGATTCTAAATTTTGTCCGAAATCCACATATATCTCAACTGACACATTGAAATTGAAATACCCTAGCAAAACCTAGAACTGTACAAAAGAAGAATGCAATGCTACAAGAACTATGAAGTTCTGAAGTTATTCTCACATGCTCGAATGTTGAAACTCTACTTTTGTCGTCCATTTCCACATTTGATTGAGCCATCATATAGAACTGTTTTCACTCTTCAGTCGTAAGCTTTTGCACAAATCTTGAATTTTTACACATCATCTTGAACCATGCTCCAGTCTTTCCAACAAGGTACTATGGAACATCAAAGCAATTTTGATTTGTTACAACAGCTTCAGATCATGATAGGCTTGAAGTTTGTTACACGATTTGCCAGACAAACCTCTACAAAATGTGTATCAATTCCCAAACTAAGCAATTGATTATATCAGTATTTGCAGTTTCCACACAATGTTTCATAATATTATTCGATTTTTATATCAAGAAACCCAAATAATCCACAAACTGTAATTGAAACACCCCCACTTCAAGAGTTCACAGCAATAACAATACAAGTTCAGAAGCAAATAAACATTGCGCCAGATTTCGTATGAAACGCGCCATCATCCTGAAGTTTCTACCACAGACGGTAGTTCAACCGCAGCCGTAGTGCGAAAACCCCTGCCCACCTTACCCCACGGCGGAGCTCGGTTGCAATTTGTAAATACGCGACTGCGGGGAGCGCCGTCGCCGAGGTAGGAGCAATAATTAGCTTATGTTTGGGACTAATTTCCACGCTTAATTAACATTTTAATGTTATTTTAATTAATTCATGTTAATCTTTGACGCATTCTCTTTCTATTGATACCATCCACCGGTCTCAGTAGGCGGAACTATGGTCAAGCGTACCCATTTTCGGGAACGCATTTTCGTTCCCATGTTTGGGAACGATAAACCCAAATATGGGAACGCCATGTAGGCATTATTTAAAACAAGAAAAAGAACCGTTAAATGACGTCCAAAAAATATAAAACGATCGTGAACCGCCTGATATTTGTCTCAATATTGTTGGGAAAGAGTTTGATATTGTAAGGCCCATCGTAGTTTCAAATCGTTCCCCTTTTTCTAAAGCAGTCCATCATCCGGGCCGCGAGCCCAAATTTGGGAACGCTCTCGTACACTGGCGCTGCAAGCGTTCCTTATTATGGGAACGGCGTACCCAAAATTGGGAACGATTTCACCGACGCCTTTCAGGGGCTCTTTTCATTAACAAGCATCACGTCCAACGCCGCAAATTATTGTTAACGCAACAATCATCAGATGACCTTTCCGGCAAGACCGTCGCATGTTTCGCCCGGTCTTCTGCGCTTTTATTCCCGTCGATCTCGCAGCGGGCACGCCCCCCTCTGCAGGATTACGTAATTCACAACGCTCAGCGATGTTCAACAAGGTCTTCCATACCTATATCCACCGTCCGCGCTGAGGGTGGAGACATGTCAAGCACCTGTCTGTTTATCACCGATAGTTGACGAGTACAAGGAAGTATCCAAAAATGGGAACGCTGAATATGTTACACCCTCAAAACACCTAGTCCCAATGAAAATCTAGTTTTTTCCTTTCTTGATGAGTGTAAGTGGCAACAGGCCTGGTAGGATGGGCACGAGGAATTATCGAAATCAGCATAAAAATTATAAATAAGCCACACAGAGCGAGCTATATAAGAGAAATTCCCCCAAAACGATCACGCTTAGAAACACGGAAGACAAAAACCACGCTCATGACGCTCCTTATAAAACAACTCTTAACAGCTAGCATCCAAATAAAATATGTCTTTCCGGGATGATAAAATACAGCTGGATAATTTTCAACCGCTTAAACTGAGTTTACAACAGTAGCTCGGTAAATTCACTCACGTTCCACGCGGTCGTCCGCCCCGACACAAAAGTCAACAATATTACCTCGGGACCGTCCGCGTCTTCGCTTGCATTTGTCAGCATCTGGTGTCGATAGTATGAAAGTTCATAACCAGGCGAAAATTATTATACTTTACCTCAAACTGAAAAATGCTTCATTTTCCTTAAAATTGCATGTTAAATGTCGTATAACCCATATTTCCACCATTCTGTCATTTTCAAAAAATCATTAAAAATATCATTCCACGGTCAATTTCCTTGTTCCACGGTCAGATTAAAGATAACTTTATGGAGATTTAGTAGACACTTAAATCAGCGTGCACTTTTTTGAGACGTGATGCACTTTTGAGTTTTAGTGGGAGAACGGCCGAAAAATTGCCTTCCGTTCTCATAAATGGGAACGCCCGTTCCCATATTTGGGAACTCCGTTCCCAAAAATGGGAACGTTCCTATATTTGGGTACTCATGACCATAGTTCCGCCTACTGGTCTGAGAATTACTGCCTTGCTGCGTAAGGGCCGATAAAAGATCACGCTTTTAGGGGTATCTCTTAAACATGGGGCAGGAGCAATAAATAGAGCGCTCTAATTATAGCTTATTTCCCTGGTATGTCACCAACTGATCAGGAATGAGCATCACAGGTTTTTTGAGTCGATTCGTGCGATTCTCGCCCCTACTCAACTCTTGAAACCTTAGGTTGTACAACTGATTCAAGAGTCAAATAAGACTCAAATCACTGATGAAAAGCACTTCTGACTTATCACGTCCCAACATATTTTGTTAAAAAGCGCAGCCCAGCATCCTGATTCAGTAAAATTCACAGATTCCAAAGCTGGAAAATCCATCCGCCATTTTAGGTTAATGGTTTGAATGTACTAATCCAAATGGGGTGGAAGAAGGTGTGCAGGGGTGCAGCTGCACCACCCAAAACATGTACCGTGCAAACTTATCTTTTTTGCACCCTCAGAATATGCACATGAGCCAGTCTGCAAAACGTGGCAGGCTTCGACGAGATCTCGTCGGGGCAGACACCACAGGTTGGGGCAGAAAAAGGGGCAGGTTTCAGGAAGATTGGGGCAGAAACAGGAAAATCTGGTGCAGAAGTTAAAAAATTGACACAGAAGTGATTTTCTCAGCCTCTTACTGCTTCCTACATCATTATATCGTTACATTATTTGCATCATTAGGGGCAGGAATTGGGCTGCCCCTGGACTCAGCATTCTGATTCGGGGCAGGATTTTGTCTGCCCCGAAAATCTTGTCGAGCTCCCTGCCATGTTTTGCAGACTGGCACATGAGGCCCATCAAAACATTCAATACAGTTCCTCCTGAAAATAATTAATTTGGAAAGGAAAGTCTATGTGAGGTTGTAGGAAGTCGAAGTAGGTACAGTAAGAAGCACCACATGCTGGACTATAAGGGCGCTACACCGGCTTTTAGCACCCGAGCCATGTTTGGTGCCCCACAACATCCTCTGATGGCCCCAATGACAGCCTCTGAGGGCCCCACAAATACTTCAGAAGTCACATTGGCCTCCAAGGGCTCTACAATGTTCTGAGGGCCCTCACAATGACCTATGAGGGCCTGTGGCCTCTGGCCGGCACACTTTGGCCTCTGGAGCCCCCAGGACAACATCTGAGGGCCCTGACAGTGACAGCTGAGGGCTCAACACAGGCTCCAGAGACCATGCTGGTTTCTAGGGGCCCCTTGACAGCCTCTGAGGGTACTCACAACAGCTTTTAGGACCCAATGTATGTTCCAAGGCTCACACTGGCCTCTGAAGTCTGAGGGCCCTTACAACAACCTCAGATGGCCCCATGGAAGCTCCAGGTGCCATGGTCTCTCTCCCTCTCCTCTCCCTCTCCTCTCCCTCTCCCTCTCCCTCTCCCTCTCCCTCTCCCTCTCCCTCTCCTCTCCCTCTCCCTCTCCTCTCCTCTCTCTCTCTCTCTCTCTCTCTCTCTCTCTCTCTCTCTCTCTCTCTCTCTTTCCCTCACCTTTTTCTTTCCTCTCTCTCTCCTTCTCCCTCTTTCTCTCTTTCTCTCTCTTCCTGCTAAAATTCAAGTAACTGTACCTAAGCATGCTGATTCTTTTCAGATGGCAGATTTTGCCATGCAAGTTTCAGAGCTGCCTCTACTGGGAGCAGCGAAGGCTGGCTCCACTGGTCGATCTCTATGGAGGGTAAGCATTTACTCACATGCCAGTATCCCTCTGAGTGCAGGGGAGAAAGATAATAATGTCAGGATGGGCACTGCAGAATGTAGGTAGATGATATTTATTGAGATAGTACCTACCTATGACTACAAATGTGCACATATTTTGTTACTAGCAGAAAAGTCATAAATGTTTTGGGCTGGTCAATTTGAATAACATGCTCAAATGTAGTGTGCCTGACTAAGAATTTGAAACTAAGAAATATGTTATCTTTATGAAGCATGATATGACTGCTATTCCAATTCGATGCAGCTTTCGTCAAACAACTATTCATATGATATTCAGGAATTGAGCTTTGGTTCCGGAAAAGTGACCGATTTTCCTTGATTTCAGAGATGGAATCGATTATCAAGACTTCAACGAAACATTATAACCATAGTTTTAGGCATCACAATATTTTGTGTTGTATTCCTCATCTTCAATGATCATTCAAGTGTAAGTCGCGCGGGCCTCGTGGGTGTTGCGGTGTCGTGACTGTCTGCTGTGGGAGTATGGTTTCTGTTAAGTAGGTATGCTCAGGTACTTTTGTTTTAGTTTCTGTGTTTTTAATTGTTTGCTTTGACACAGTATTTACATTTCTTTGTGCAAAGTTTGTCATCTAGTGCCCATCGTTTTTTTATGCTGGTGGGAGTGCCAATAAGATAGATATGAGACATCCTGTTGCATAATGGCCGTTTTGATGCTGTCTTATCCTGTAGTCTGACGGCCTGTGCTGGGGGCTTACTCTTTGAGTTTACTCCTGCTTCGCTTATTCGCTTTCTGTGTTGCTTTTTGTTTGTCTCGTTTCGGGTGCGATCATCTAGCGCTGCCTCAGTGGAGTGTTGTGATTGTGGGTGTCCACTGTGGGTGTCCTGTTTGCAGAACACCCTCCAGTCCTCGACTTCAGAGAGCTCAGCGGGGCAGCGTCTGGAGGCGGCGCCGGCCGAGGCGCCCGCGGCGGCCGGGCCCCGTCAGGGTGGAGTGGTGAGTGCTGAGTAAGCCAGGGGTGGCTGACCTGCCCGCGGCGGCCGGGCCCCGCCAGGGCGGTGTGGTGAGTAAGCCAGGGCTGGTCGACGTACCCGCGGCGGCCGGGCCCCGTCAGGGTGGAGTGGTGAGTGCTGAGTAAGCCAGGGGTGGCTGACCTGCCCGCGGCGGCCGGGCCCCGTCATGGTGGTGTGGTGAGTAAGCCAGGGCTGGTCGACCTGTTCTGTGGGACTGGGCCCCGTCAGGGGGGTGTGGGGAGTAGAGCGGGGTGGTCCGACCTGTCCGGTGGGACCGGGCGGCCGGGCCCTGCCGGTGTGGCGTGGTGAGTAGAGCGGGGGTGGTTGACCTGTCCGCGGTGGCCGGGCCCCGCCAGGGGGGTGTGTTGAGTAAATCAGGGGTGGTCAACCTGCGCAGTGGGACCGGGCCGCAAATTCCCAATAGTGCTACACGCTACGCACAGCCCGGGCGGGTGACGTCACGGTGTCGTCACTCGCGTACGGGGCATGCGCATGGGGGCCCGCTCGGCTCTGGAGGCGCCGGCGGCAGGCGGCTCAGAGAGATCTGCACGGCAGATGGGAGCGGGTTCCGAGATGTGCACGGCCGATGGGAGGGCTCGAAGACCACTGCTCTGATGCTTCAGTCAACTACACTGCGAACGATTTATCGGGTTTATCCGACGCAAGGGAAGTTGCGGCGAAAGAACCTGAGGTTGTTGCGTCATGCAGCATTATGGTAATCGAAATGTACTCTGCTCGTGCGGTGCGAGTTGGAGTGTTGGCTCGGTGGTAGGGCGAGCTGTGCACGGCTGGTGACAGGTTTTGAGGACCAACATTCCACCACGGCTCAAGTAAGCGTATCCGTCGTGAATGATTTACCCACCAGATGTTTGACAAAGCAAATGACCTCAAACAAGTGACACCGAATAGCGAGGTGCTACGTTATTGCAACGTAGGTGAACGAGATGCACTCGCATCAATTACGAGTTTGACGGCAGCTGTAGCTGATCCGTTTATACCAAGGCTATAGAACGTTTATACATAGTGTTCGGCGGTGTCCCTGGGTTAACCCGCGCCGTGCTGGTGGCCTGAACTTTCCGCCGAGTGCTGGGGGGGGGGGGCGTTTTCACGTCCCCCCGTCTAACTCGGCTCCTGGGCCACGTAGCGACACGCGGTAAGCGGCAATCGAAAGAGCGTCAAAAATAAGGACGAAAACACTTCGGTCATTTTTTGGGTCAGGTCAAAGGTCAGGTCACCAGAGGTCACCAAAGGTAAAATGTTGACTATTTCAACATTTTGGAAACTGCCAACGGCTATCTCGGGAACCGATAGAGCTACAGCGCCGCGGAAAAGCGCATTCGATAGCCCTTTTACAGACCTTTCTGAGTAATGTCCTCAGATTTGACCTCAGGTCAACGGTTTAGCCTCCAGAGGGCAAAAACTCCAAAAATAGCCGTTTTTACGAAAAACGTTTCTTCGTCAATAACTTTTGACTCATAAGCGCCATGACATTACTTTTGCCAGCATCGTGTTTCTCTCGTCGAGACGCGTCGAATGAACTATTCGTTGACCTTGAAAGGTCATTTTGAAAATTTGACCTCAGGTCAAGGTCATGACCTGACCGAAAAGGGTCATGTTGCATATCAGTCGATCCGTATCGTCGAGCTGAACACATCTGACGTGTTTTCACCGCTCTAGCACGTCTCTATCAAAAGTTATAGCCAAAAAACTGCTGGCGACCGTTCATGACCTGAGATGACCTCAGGGGCACACAGAGGGGTCACAGGTGCATTTTTCCTATTCAGTGTGTCATGTTTACCTATGAACCGATGTTTGAGAGCGTTTTGAACGATATTCGTCCAAAAGAGGCGCATTTCAATTTTCTCCCATTGACTTATAATGGAGAGGTCGCAAAATTGACCTGACCTTAGGTCACAGATATCAAAAATCCGAGATATACATTTTATACATACTGTTACTCATATCAATCGCTGAAAGTTTTAAAGTGATCGTTCAGTCGGTGTAGCTATAGCGAGCCTTTGAACTTTTTCTGAGGTAAGGTCACTTGACGTGACCTGGTGACCTGACCTTGAACGGCCTAGGTCTGAAATTTTCACAACATGTGCGGAAATGATGTAGGAACACGTGTACCAAAAACGGCGGCGCTGCGCGCCGCCGTTTTTGAGATATTTGCGAAAAACCTGAGGGGGGGCGTAAAAACGCCCCCCCCCCCAGCACGGCGCGGGTTAAGGTAAGTTGAGGTAGAAGAACAGCAAATTTCCAGCCAGTTTCTGAACTCTTCTCGGGTTTTGACGTTACATCTCAAAGCCAAATCTTTGCAGTTCACGTGGATGTTCAAAATGCCTAAAGATTCATTTTTTTCCGAAAAAAAAAAACATCCGTTTCCATCGAACACCACAGGTGCAGAAGCAACACTACCCACAAATCCAACACGAATTACAGTCTAACAGGTCTAACACCATCACGGTCAAATTCAACACCCAGCGCACCGACTCGCTCTATCGTCTGGAGGGAGATAGGCCCCTCTTGCACGGAGACACAAGTCAAAATCGTTTTCAAGTGATTCTAAATGGTCCGCACTCCGCACTCCGCAGACCATCAATATCGAATATGAATCTCAATCTAAATACGTTACCAAGATTATAGACATATTCGTCCAAGGAGACTGCGAATTCGGGATGAGTCTCCGTGCAAGAGGGGCCTATCTTTATACAGACGATGGATTGAGTCAGTGCACCCAACAAACGCCAACAATAGCCCCTTGAATTCGTGCCTTAGGTCCGCGCTTGGATAACTAACAAGGTAATTATTAGAGATGTCAATCGGATACCGACTTTTTGGTATACCGATACCAAACCGATACCAACTTGGTATTTGGTATTTCAATTGTAATGTGTTTGGTCTTTTGTTGGTATCATGAACCATCACTAATGTATAAGAAGCTAAGAAATCGGTATAAAGTTGGTATTTCCCTCATTTTCCCAAGTTGGTTTGGTTTCGGTATTTCCCTACGGTTTTTGTTGGTATTTGGTTTGGTATCGGTATTCCGATTTTCCGTAATTGACACCACTAGTAATTATCCATGGTCCGCGTGTGGTTCGTGCATAGACTCGTATATTGTCCTCGTAAGTTTCCTTAACCTGTATCTGGACTAGCGAATAGACCCCACCTCGTCTAACTATTGCTTGGCTGATAGATGTGACGTCACATAACCCGCACGCCAATGAGCGTGGCGTCAGGCTATGACGTCATCTCCCGCGACAACCAGCCACTCAGCGCTGGAGGTGCGTAGCGTGTAGCATTATTGGGAATTTGCGACCGGGCCCCGCCAGGGTGGTGTGGTGAGTAGAGCGGGGGTGGCCGACCTGTCCTGTGGGACTGGGCCCCGTCAGGGCGGTGTGGTGAGTAAGCCAGGGGTGGCCGACCTGCCACTGTCATCGGTCACCGGGACGCCGATAGAGCGGGTTCTGCGGCCAAGACTTGGTCTGCTGGGTTTGGGCAGCCGGTGTGCCCATTACGAGATAGGCTAGCTTTACGTGACTGCCGTCTATGTGGACGGGGTCACTGAACAGTGCCGACCTCCCTCCATGGACCGCGCTGTCGGATAGTTCCGACCTCCCCTCGCCCCACAGTCGGTTCGCCGGGTGATCGGCCGGCCGGCGGCCCCGGACTGTCGGTCGGACAGTTCTAACCTCCCCTCTCTCGGTACAGGAGGTTCGGCGGGTGATCGGCCGTCCGGCGGCGCCTGGCCAGCATCACGGCGGGGCCAACATCGAGCACCGTCTGGAGGAGACGCTGGACGGCGCCGGTAACAAGGTGCAGCGCGTCAACAAACTGGTCCATCTGCACCACGTCGACAAGTGAGCAGCGGCTGACCGGGGGAGGGGGCTGACCGTGCTGTGACTTCAGTCCGGAGTTAGGTCGCTGTGACACTGCATTGTGGGGAGACCCTAATGTCGTTGCATATGTTGGGCCTTAATGGTACCGGCTAAGTTGGATGGATAATTCCGATAGTCGTTTTTTCATGACCATCTGATATCGTTGGCTGAGAGTCATGACAAACGCCCCTCGTTGAAGGCATCTGTGCCTCCCGTTGCCCTGTCTGTCCCCACTCTAACCACTCCGACCCGGCCGGCCGTCTCCCGCAGAATCGGCGAGGACCTGGGCGACGACGACCCTAGCGGTGTCCGCAACCCGCCGGACCCGGACCGCGACCCGGAGCCGGAGCAGGACCCGGGTCCGGACCCGGACTCGGGGCCCGCGCAGCCGGAGCCCCTGATCCCGCCGCGGGCCAAACGCGCACCCGTCCAGTTCCCAGGTACGGTGGGCCGAACTGCGTGGAACGTGGGGTAGTCGGATGCTGGGTGTTTGAAGGGTGGGGCTGAATTGAAAGTTTCGACTGTTTTTTTGTTTTGTTTACATCTGAGCAGTTTGAGCTAGGCATGAAGAATAAGCCTAACCCACCTTTAGCGATTCGCACCATCTCCTGCATTTTAATAGTCACGTTCACGTATAATTACTGATACCACTGTCAATTGTGCTCGCGTACGCCATGCGCGCTCATGTATCTGTCTCAGTAAAAGCCTGGCCAGAATCTCACCACGTTTGTGCGTGTGACACAATGTCAATGTGTGTCACATTGACACAATGTCACGTGAGCAGAATCTGACCACGTCTTTGCATGTGACCACAATCCAACCACATCCGTTTGCCTATCCGACTATAATGTAACCGTGTCTTGTCTACGTGTCTGACCACTAATCTGTCTGTCCGACCAGGTCCCACCAACGTTCGTCAGCGCGCGGTGGTGTCAGCGTTCCAGCACGCCTGGACGGCGTACACCAACTATGCCTGGGGCCACGACCACCTGAAGCCCATCTCCCAGACGGCGCACGACTGGTTCGGCCTGGGCCTGACACTCATCGACAGCCTGGACACTATGTACATCATGGACCTGAAGAAAGGTGGGAGGTGGCGGCGCCTCAGCTGAGGAGGGAGAGGGGTGGCGCCTGGATTCCACCGGAGAGAGGGCGTGGGTGTGGGTTTTTCTTACCGGAGGTTCCTCCCTGATGGTTCGGTTTATGTACGGGTGCAAGGTTGATGTGATGGAAAGGGGTGCTAGTTTACATGATAGTGCTGAGGATGATTGGATGCTGCCTTGTGACAGCGGTTTCGATCATTGTATAGCGATTTCGATCATTGTATGAACTATGAACACCATGGAGTAAATCATGTCTATACGACTAGGTAATCAGCAATCAGCCATTTACTAAGTCATTTGTATTTCCTGCTCTTCTAGGTATCGTTTACGTTCTGTTACGGACGAACAATGACCCGCGTTCCCCACCTGACGCACTCTCTGCTGCCCTGTTATAGAGTTTGCCGAGGCGCGCGATTGGGTGGCCGACCATCTGAGTCTGGACGTCAGCGACTACGTCAACGTGTTCGAGACGACCATCCGCGTGCTGGGCGGTCTGCTGAGCGCACACCACCTCTCGCAGGACGACGTGTTCCTCAAGAAGGCCGTGAGTGCGACAAGAGGAGGACGCTACTCTCTGCTGATGACTAATGTCACACAGAGATGTTACAAACCAGTAGTGTTGTTAGCAATATGTTTGAATGCGCTCATGTGACCGTCATCTCTCGCAGAGTTTGGGCTCATGCTCAAGAAAAGTTAGTCTTTGAACTTGGTCCTGATTTTAGATAGGAACAGACGATGTAACAAAGAAATAGATTCACGCCATTAGCCATGTACCTACATCGCTGTCTAGTTTTCTGCCTCGGTGTTGTCTATTTTTTTTACTCTGACTTCCCTCTGACGTGGCGCCGCCGTCCTCCGCCTCTGGCAGGTGGACCTGGGTGACCGTCTGCTGCCCGCCTTCAACACTCCCTCTGGCATCCCCTACTCGGACGTCAACCTGCACACGCTGAAGGCGCGCGGCCCGGCCTGGAACCCGGACAGCTCGACTGCCGAGGTGGCCACCCTGCAGCTTGAGTTCAATCAGCTCAGCCACGTCTCCGGCGACCGGCGGTACTCTGTGAGTGGACGCGGGCTCAGTGAGACGCGCTGTTCAGTGAGAGGGCAGCTGGTCAGAGGGTAAGGATTGGTGAATAGAGGGACATCGGAGGGACCGAATGGGATCTTATGACCGGTTGGGTGCAAATCTTATGAGCGCAGGATGTGTTTTGACAACGAACTGGGCACTGATGACTGAGTGAACATTAAAATGCGTGTGAGCTCACCGATGATATTTAGGTGTGCACTGATGGCGGCCAGTTTGGTATATACCCTTCCCCACCTGTTCGCCCTTCCCCGTCCCCGGCTGTCTGATCTAACATCTGCGATCTTCACGGCAGGACCGGGCGATGGCGGTGTCAAACCACATCAGCGGCCTCCCCAAGAAGGAGGGCCTGGTGCCCATCTACATTAGCACCAAGGACGGCCAGTTTCGGCAGTACTCTGTGGTGACGATGGGCGCGCGCGGGGACAGCTACTACGAGTACCTGATCAAACAGTACGCCCAGCTGGGACTGCCGCTGGCCCAGTGAGTGGGGGAGGGGAGGGGGACAGCTACTACGAGTACCTGATCAAACAGTACGCCCAGCTGGGACTGCCGCTGGCCCAGTGAGTGGGGGAGGGGAGCGGGACAGCTACTACGAGTACCTGATCAAACAGTACGCCCAGCTCGGACTGCCGCTGGCCCAGTGAGTGGGGGAGGGGAGGGGGACAGCTACTACGAGTACCTGATCAAACAGTACGCCCAGCTGGGACTGCCGCTGGCCTAGTGAGTGGGGGGGGGGGAGCGGGGACAGCTACTACGAGTACCTGATCAAACAGTACGCCCAGCTGGGACTGCCGCTGGCCCAGTGAGTGGGGGAGGGGGAGGGGGGACAGCTACTACGAGTACCTGATCAAACAGTACGCCCAGCTGGGACTGCCGCTGGCCCAGTGAGTGGGGGAGGGGGAGGGAGACAGCTACTACGAGTACCTGATCAAACAGTACGCCCAGCTCGGACTGCCGCTGGCCCAGTGAGTGGGGGAGGGGAGGGAGGGAGACAGCTACTACGAGTACCTGATCAAACAGTACGCCCAGCTGGGACTGCCGCTGGCCCAGTGAGTGGGGAGGGGAGGGGAAGGGGGACAGCTACTACGAGTACCTGATCAAACAGTACGCCCAGCTGGGACTGCTGCTGGCCCAGTGAGTGGGGGAGGGGAGGGGAGACAGCTACTACGAGTACCTGATCAAACAGTACGCCCAGCTGGGACTGCCGCTGGCTCAGTGAGTGGGGGAGGGGGGAGGGGGACAGCTACTACGAGTACCTGATCAAACAGTACGCCCAGCTCGGACTGCCGCTGGCCCAGTGAGTGGGGGGGGAGGGGGGACAGCTACTACGAGTACCTGATCAAACAGTACGCCCAGCTGGGACTGCCGCTGGCCCAGTGAGTGGGGGAGGGGGAGGGGGAGGGAGGGGACAGCTACTACGAGTACCTGATCAAACAGTACGCCCAGCTGGGACTGCCGCTGGCTCAGTGAGTGGGGGAGGGGAGGGGGACAGCTACTACGAGTACCTGATCAAACAGTACGCCCAGCTGGGACTGCCGCTGGCTCAGTGAGTGGGGGAGGGGGGAGGGGGACAGCTACTACGAGTACCTGATCAAACAGTACGCCCAGCTGGGACTGCCGCTGGCCCAGTGAGTGGGGAGGGGAGGGGAGGGGGGACAGCTACTACGAGTACCTGATCAAACAGTACGCCCAGCTGGGACTGCCGCTGGCCCAGTGAGTGGGGGGGGAGGGGGGACAGCTACCACGAGTACCTGATCAAACAGTACGCCCAGCTGGGACTGCCGCTGGCCCAGTGAGTAGGGGGGGGGGGGGACAGCTACTACGAGTACCTGATCAAACAGTACGCCCAGCTGGGACTGCCGCTGGCTTAGTGAGTAGGGGAGGGGAGGGGAGGGGAGACAGCTACTACGAGTACCTGATCAAACAGTACGCCCAGCTGGGACTGCCGCTGGCCCAGTGAGTGGGGGGGGGAGGGGGAGGGGAGACAGCTACTACGAGTACCTGATCAAACAGTACGCCCAGCTGGGACTGCCGCTGGCCCAGTGAGTGGGGGGGGGGAGGGGGGACAGCTACCACGAGTACCTGATCAAACAGTACGCCCAGCTGGGACTGCCGCTGGCCCAGTGAGTAGGGGGGGGGGGACAGCTACTACGAGTACCTGATCAAACAGTACGCCCAGCTGGGACTGCCGCTGGCTTAGTGAGTAGGGGAGGGGAGGGGAGGGGAGACAGCTACTACGAGTACCTGATCAAACAGTACGCCCAGCTGGGACTGCCGCTGGCCCAGTGAGTGGGGAGGGGGAGCGGGGACAGCTACTACGAGTACCTGATCAAACAGTACGCCCAGCTGGGACTGCCGCTGGCCCAGTGAGTGGGGAGGGGGAGCGGGGACAGCTACTACGAGTACCTGATCAAACAGTACGCCCAGCTGGGACTGCCGCTGGCCCAGTGAGTGTGGGGGGGAGGGGAGGGAGACAGGTACTACGAGTACCTGATCAAACAGTACGCCCAGCTGGGACTGCCGCTGGCTCAGTGAGTGGGGGAGGGGGAGGGGGGACAGCTACTACGAGTACCTGATCAAACAGTACGCCCAGCTGGGACTGCCGCTGGCTCAGTGAGTAGGGGAGAGGAGCGGGGGACAGCTACTACGAGTACCTGATCAAACAGTACGCCCAGCTGGGACTGCCGCTGGCTCAGTGAGTGGGGGAGGAGGAGGGGGGACAGCTACTACGAGTACCTGATCAAACAGTACGCCCAGCTGGGACTGCCGCTGGCTTAGTGAGTAGGGGAGGGGAGGGGGGACAGCTACTACGAGTACCTGATCAAACAGTACGCCCAGCTGGGACTGCCGCTGGCTCAGTGAGTGGGGGGGAGGGGGGACAGCTACTACGAGTACCTGATCAAACAGTACGCCCAGCTCGGACTGCCGCTGGCCCAGTGAGTGGGGAGGGGGAGGGGAAGGGGGACAGCTACTACGAGTACCTGATCAAACAGTACGCCCAGCTGGGACTGCCGCTGGCCCAGTGAGTGGGGGAGGAGGAGGGGGGACAGCTACTACGAGTACCTGATCAAACAGTACGCCCAGCTGGGACTGCCGCTGGCCCAGTGAGTGTGGGGGGGAGGGGAGGGGAGACAGCTACTACGAGTACCTGATCAAACAGTACGCCCAGCTGGGACTGCCGCTGGCCCAGTGAGTGGGGAGGGGGAGGGGAGACAGCTACTACGAGTACCTGATCAAACAGTACGCCCAGCTGGGACTGCCGCTGGCCCAGTGAGTGGGGGAGGGGAAGGGGACAGCTACTACGAGTACCTGATCAAACAGTACGCCCAGCTGGGACTGCCGCTGGCCCAGTGAGTGGGGGAGGGGGAGGGGGGACAGCTACTACGAGTACCTGATCAAACAGTACGCCCAGCTCGGACTGCCGCTGGCTCAGTGAGTGGGGGAGGGGGAGGGGGAGGGGGACAGCTACTACGAGTACCTGATCAAACAGTACGCCCAGCTGGGACTGCCGCTGGCTCAGTGAGTGGGGGAGGGGAGGGAGACAGCTACTACGAGTACCTGATCAAACAGTACGCCCAGCTGGGACTGCCGCTGGCTCAGTGAGTGGGGGAGGGGGAGGGGGAGGGGGACAGCTACTACGAGTACCTGATCAAACAGTACGCCCAGCTCGGACTGCCGCTGGCCCAGTGAGTGGGGAGGGGAGGGGAAGGGGGACAGCTACTACGAGTACCTGATCAAACAGTACGCCCAGCTGGGACTGCCGCTGGCCCAGTGAGTGGGGAGGGGAGGGGAGACAGCTACTACGAGTACCTGATCAAACAGTACGCCCAGCTGGGACTGCCGCTGGCCCAGTGAGTGGGGAGGGGAGTGAGGGGGAGGGGACAGCTACTACGAGTACCTGATCAAACAGTACGCCCAGCTCGGACTGCCGCTGGCCCAGTGAGTGGGGGGGGGGAGGGGAGACAGCTACTACGAGTACCTGATCAAACAGTACGCCCAGCTGGGACTGCCGCTGGCTCAGTGAGTAGGGGAGGGGGAGGGGAGACAGCTACTACGAGTACCTGATCAAACAGTACGCCCAGCTCGGACTGCCGCTGGCCCAGTGAGTAGGGTGGGGGGGAGGGACAGCTACTACGAGTACCTGATCAAACAGTACGCCCAGCTGGGACTGCCGCTGGCCCAGTGAGTGGGGAGGGGGGGAGGGGGACAGCTACTACGAGTACCTGATCAAACAGTACGCCCAGCTCGGACTGCCGCTGGCCCAGTGAGTGGGGGAGGGGAGGGGGGGAGGGGACAGCTACTACGAGTACCTGATCAAACAGTACGCCCAGCTGGGACTGCCGCTGGCCCAGTGAGTGGGGAGGGGAGTGAGGGGGAGGGGACAGCTACTACGAGTACCTGATCAAACAGTACGCCCAGCTCGGACTGCCGCTGGCCCAGTGAGTGGGGGAGGGGAGGGGGGGGAGGGGACAGCTACTACGAGTACCTGATCAAACAGTACGCCCAGCTCGGACTGCCGCTGGCTCAGTGAGTGGGGGAGGGGGAGGGGGACAGCTACTACGAGTACCTGATCAAACAGTACGCCCAGCTGGGACTGCCGCTGGCTCAGTGAGTGGGGGAGGGGGAGGGGGAGGGGGACAGCTACTACGAGTACCTGATCAAACAGTACGCCCAGCTCGGACTGCCGCTGGCCCAGTGAGTGGGGTGGGGAGTGAGGGGGAGGGGACAGCTACTACGAGTACCTGATCAAACAGTACGCCCAGCTGGGACTGCCGCTGGCCCAGTGAGTGGGGAGGGGGGGAGGGGGACAGCTACTACGAGTACCTGATCAAACAGTACGCCCAGCTGGGACTGCCGCTGGCCCAGTGAGTGGGGAGGGGAGGGGAAGGGGGACAGCTACTACGAGTACCTGATCAAACAGTACGCCCAGCTCGGACTGCCGCTGGCCCAGTGAGTGGGGGAGGGGAGTGAGGGGGAGGGGACAGCTACTACGAGTACCTGATCAAACAGTACGCCCAGCTCGGACTGCCGCTGGCTCAGTGAGTGGGGGAGGGGAGGGAGACAGCTACTACGAGTACCTGATCAAACAGTACGCCCAGCTGGGACTGCCGCTGGCTCAGTGAGTGGGGGAGGGGGAGGGGGAGGGGGACAGCTACTACGAGTACCTGATCAAACAGTACGCCCAGCTCGGTCTGCCGCTGGCCCAGTGAGTGGGGAGGGGAGTGAGGGGGAGGGAGACAGGTACTACGAGTACCTGATCAAACAGTACGCCCAGCTGGGACTGCCGCTGGCCCAGTGAGTGGGGGAGGGGGAGGGGAGGGGAGACAGCTACTACGAGTACCTGATCAAACAGTACGCCCAACTCGGACTGCCGCTGGCCCAGTGAGTGGGGAGGGGAAGGGAGACAGCTACTACGAGTACCTGATCAAACAGTACGCCCAGCTCGGACTGCCGCTGGCCCAGTGAGTGGGGGAGGGGAGGGGGAGACAGCCACTACGAGTACCTGATCAAACAGTACGCCCAGCTCGGACTGCCGCTGGCCCAGTGAGTGGGGGAGGGGAGGGGGGGAGGGGACAGCTACTACGAGTACCTGATCAAACAGTACGCCCAGCTCGGACTGCCGCTGGCTCAGTGAGTGGGGGAGGGGGAGGGGGAGGGGGACAGCTACTACGAGTACCTGATCAAACAGTACGCCCAGCTGGGACTGCCGCTGGCTCAGTGAGTGGGGGAGGGGGAGGGGGAGGGGGACAGCTACTACGAGTACCTGATCAAACAGTACGCCCAGCTCGGACTGCCGCTGGCCCAGTGAGTGGGGTGGGGAGTGAGGGGGAGGGGACAGCTACTACGAGTACCTGATCAAACAGTACGCCCAGCTGGGACTGCCGCTGGCCCAGTGAGTGGGGAGGGGGGGAGGGGGACAGCTACTACGAGTACCTGATCAAACAGTACGCCCAGCTGGGACTGCCGCTGGCCCAGTGAGTGGGGAGGGGAGTGAGGGGGAGGGAGACAGGTACTACGGGTACCTGATCAAACAGTACGCCCAGCTGGGACTGCCGCTGGCCCAGTGAGTGGGGGAGGGGAGGGAGACAGCTACTACGAGTACCTGATCAAACAGTACGCCCAGCTGGGACTGCCGCTGGCCCAGTGAGTAGGGGGGGGGGGAGGGGAGACAGCTACTACGAGTACCTGATCAAACAGTACGCCCAGCTGGGACTGCCGCTGGCCCAGTGAGTGGGGGAGGGGAGGGGAGGGGGAGACAGCTACTACGAGTACCTGATCAAACAGTACGCCCAGCTGGGACTGCCGCTGGCTCAGTGAGTGGGGAGGGGAGGGGAGGGGGACAGCTACTACGAGTACCTGATCAAACAGTACGCCCAGCTGGGACTGCCGCTGGCCCAGTGAGTGGGGAGGGGAGCGGCGACAGCTACTACGAGTACCTGATCAAACAGTACGCCCAGCTGGGACTGCCGCTGGCCCAGTGAGTGGGGGACGGGGAGGGGGAGGGGGACAGCTACTACGAGTACCTGATCAAACAGTACGCCCAGCTGGGACTGCCGCTGGCCCAGTGAGTGGGAGGGGGGGGGGAGGGGGACAGCTACTACGAGTACCTGATCAAACAGTACGCCCAGCTGGGACTGCCGCTGGCCCAGTGAGTAGGGGGAGGGAGGGGAGACAGCTACTACGAGTACCTGATCAAACAGTACGCCCAGCTGGGACTGCCGCTGGCCCAGTGAGTAGGGGGAGGGAGGGGAGACAGCTACTACGAGTACCTGATCAAACAGTACGCCCAGCTGGGACTGCCGCTGGCCCAGTGAGTAGGGGAGGGGGAGGGGAGGGGGGACAGCTACTACGAGTACCTGATCAAACAGTACGCCCAGCTGGGACTGCCGCTGGCCCAGTGAGTGGGGGAGGGGAGGGGAGACAGCTACTACGAGTACCTGATCAAACAGTACGCCCAGCTGAGACTGCCGCTGGCCCAGTGAGTAGGGGGGGGGGGGAGGGGAGACAGCTACTACGAGTACCTGATCAAACAGTACGCCCAGCTGGGACTGCCGCTGGCTCAGTGAGTCGGGATCCCTACCTTTTACTGATGGGGAGCGAGAGAGGGATGACTGAAAAGAGGAATAGTGCTGAGCTGGATAAAGCGAGTGTAGCAAGGACCCTGTGCAGTGTGCATCTCAGGTATTTTATTTATTCTGAGAGCCAATGCTTTCACGACGGCTTGTTGATTATTGCTTTGTGATGGTGAAGCTCATTGAAACAAACACTGGCAAACCTCTGTCAGTTCAATAACTCCATATTTATCTGACGTTGTGTGACTGACGCCGTTCCACTTTCCGCAGTCTCCGGAATGATTTTAACGCCTCGGTGCAGGGCATTCAGCACCTCCTAGTCAAGAAGAGCAAGCCGGGCGATCTGACCTTCCTGGCAGAGCTGATGAGCGGCGGCAAGAACATTAAACCGAAAATGGTGCGTTTGAATGGTGGGCGGTTCGGTATCTGAAACGTTACAAATTCAATGTTCTACTAAAATGCAAAACAATGTAGTCTATAAATAATCGCTGGTAATTGACATCGTTTCAAATGGCGTAGAATTCATGCATTTCGAAGTGTTTTACTGACTTTCGTATGCAGTCGAACAGTTTGAAATGTTCTTCAACCGCTCGCTTTGTAGCTTCACCATATTCAGGTTCTTTTTTTCGAACAAGCACATGACTGTTTCGGTGAGCCGAAACAATTTAGCACGAGTGCGTGACTGTGTTTTATACCCGCCACCAGGAATGTCCATGAAGTTAGCGTCAGCAACAGCAACGAATACAGCGTCGGATTCAGAATCGCTTAAAGAACTCATTTTAGGGCAATTGGGGGACGGGGAGCAAGAATATGACCTTTATTTGGCCCTAGCTCTTACCCCTTACCCCTTAATCGGCCCTTAAAGGAAGGGGCGCGTCAAAAGTGCCTCAAGGGTTCGTCTGATCGCCAAAATAAGGGTCGCAATCGATTCCCCGGGTCAATATCTAGCCGCAGCCTCGGGTTCCAGATGTGTGCAACTTACCCCTTACCCCTTAATCGGCCCTTAAAGGAAGGGGCGCGTCAAAAGTGCCTCAAGGGTTCGTCTGATCGCCAAAATAAGGGTCGCAATCGAATTGAGGCACTTTTGACGCGCCCCTTCCTTTAAGGGCCGATTAAGGGGTAAGGGGTAAGTTGCACAAATCTGGAACCCGAGGCTGCGGCTAGATATTGACCCGGGGAATCGATTGCGACCCTTATTTTGGCGATCAGACGAACCCTTGAGGCACTTTTGACGCGCCCCTTCCTTTAAGGGCCGATTAAGGGGTAAGGGGTAAGTTGCACACATCTGGAACCCGAGGCTGCGGCTAGATATTGACCCGGGGAATCGATTGCGACCCTTATTTTGGAGATCAGACGAACCCTTGAGGCACTTTTGACGCGCCCCTTCCTTTAAGGGCCGATTAAGGGGTAAGGGGTAAGTTGCACACATCTGGAACCCGAGGCTGCGGCTAGATATTGACCCGGGGAATCGATTGCGACCCTTATTTTGGCGATCAGACGAACCCTTGAGGCACTTTTGACGCGCCCCTTCCTTTAAGGGCCGATTAAGGGGTAAGGGGTAAGTTGCACACATCTGGAACCCGAGACTGCGGCTAGATATTGACCCGGGGAATCGAATGCGACCCTTATTTTGGCGATCAGACGAACCCTTGAGGCACTTTTGACGCGCCCCTTCCTTTAAGGGCCGATTAAGGGGTAAGGGGTAAGTTGCACACATCTGGAACCCAAGGCTGCGGCTAGATATTGACCCGGGGAATCGATTGCGACCCTTATTTTGGCGATCAGACGAACCCTTGAGGCACTTTTAACGCGCCCCTTCCTTTAAGGGCCGATTAAGGGGTAAGGGGTAAGTTGCACACATCTGGAACCCGAGGCTGCGGCTAGATATTGACCCGGGGAATCGATTGCGACCCTTATTTTGGCGATCAGACGAAACCTTGAGGCACTTTTGACGCGCCCCCTCTTTAAGGGCCGATTAAGGGGTAAGGGGTAAGTTGCACACATCTGGAACCCGAGGCTGCGGCTAGATATTGACCCGGGGAATCGATTGCGACCCTTATTTTGGCGATCAGACGAACCCTTGAGGCACTTTTGACGCGCCCCTTCCTTTAAGGGCCGATTAAGGGGTAAGGGGTAAGTTGCACACATCTGGAACCCGAGGCTGCGGCTAGATATTGACCCGGGGAATCGATTGCGACCCTTATTTTGGCGATCAGACGAACCCTTGAGGCACTTTTGACGCGCCCCTTCCTTTAAGGGCCGATTAAGGGGTAAGGGGTAAGTTGCACACATCTCGAACCCGAGGCTGCGGCTAGATATTGACCCGGGGAATCGATTGCGACCCTTATTTTGGCGATCAGACGAACCCTTGAGGCACTTTTGACGCGCCCCTTCCTTTAAGGGCCGATTAAGGGGTAAGGGGTAAGTTGCACACATCTGGAACCCGAGGCTGCGGCTAGATATTGACCCGAGGAATCGATTGCGACCCTTATTTTGGCGATCAGACGAACCCTTGAGGCACTTTTGACGCGCCCCTTCCTTTAAGGGCCGATTAAGGGGTAAGGGGTAAGTTGCACACATCTGGAACCCGAGGCTGCGGCTAGATATTGACCAGGGGAATCGATTGCGACCCTTATTTTGGCGATCAGACGAACCCTTGAGGCACTTTTGACGCGCCCCTTCCTTTAAGGGCCGATTAAGGGGTAAGGGGTAAGTTGCACACATCTGGAACCCGAGGCTGCGGCTAGATATTGACCCGGGGAATCGATTGCGACCCTTATTTTGGCGATCAGACGAGCCCTTGAGGCACTTTTGACGCGCCCCTTCCTTTAAGGGCCGATTAAGGGGTAAGGGGTAAGTTGCACACATCTTGAACCCGAGGCTGCGGCTAGATATTGACCCGGGGAATCGATTGCGACCCTTATTTTGGAGATCAGACGAACCCTTGAGGCACTTTTGACGCGCCCCTTCCTTTAAGGGCCGATAAAGGGGTAAGGGGTAAGTTGCACACATCTGGAACCCGAGGCTGCGGCTAGATATTGACCCGGGGAATCGATTGCGACCCTTATTTTGGCGATCAGACGAACCCTTGAGGCACTTTTGACGCGCCCCTTCCTTTAAGGGCCGATTAAGGGGTAAGGGGTAAGTTGCACACATCTGGAACCCGAGGCTGCGGCTAGATATTGACCCGAGGAATCGATTGCGACCCTTATTTTGGCGATCAGACAAACCCTTGAGGCACTTTTGACGCGCCCCTTCCTTTAAGGGCCGATTAAGGGGTAAGGGGTAAGTTGCACACATCTGGAACCCGAGGCTGCGGCTAGATATTGACCCGGGGAATCGATTGCGACCCTTATTTTGGCGATCAGACGAAACCTTGAGGCACTTTTGACGCGCCCCTTCCTTTAAGGGCCGATTAAGGGGTAAGGGGTAAGTAGCACACATCTGGAACCCGAGGCTGCGGCTAGATATTGACCCGGGGAATCGATTGCGACCCTTATTTTGGCGATCAGACGAACCCTTGAGGCACTTTTGACGCGCCCCTTCCTTTAAGGGCCGATTAAGGGGTAAGGGGTAAGTTGCACACATCTGGAACCCGAGGCTGCGGCTAGATATTGACCCGGGGAATCGATTGCGACCCTTATTTTGGCGATCAGACGAACCCTTGAGGCACTTTTGACGCGCCCCTTCCTTTAAGGGCCGATTAAGGGGTAAGGGGTAAGTTGCACACATCTGGAACCCGAGGCTGCGGCTAGATATTGACCCGGGGAATCGATTGCGACCCTTATTTTGGCGATCAGACGAACCCTTGAGGCACTTTTGACGCGCCCCTTCCTTTAAGGGCCGATTAAGGGGTAAGGGGTAAGTTGCACACATCTGGAACCCGAGGCTGCGGCTAGATATTGACCCGAGGAATCGATTGCGACCCTTATTTTGGCGATCAGACGAACCCTTGAGACACTTTTGACGCGCCCCTTCCTTTAAGGGCCGATTAAGGGGTAAGGGGTAAGTTGCACACATCTGGAACCCGAGGCTGCGGCTAGATATTGACCCGGGGAATCGATTGCGACCCTTATTTTGGCGATCAGACGAACCCTTGAGGCACTTTTGACGCGCCCCTTCCTTTAAGGGCCGATTAAGGGGTAAGGGGTAAGTTGCACACATCTGGAACCCGAGGCTGCGTTTAGATATTGACCCGAGGAATCGATTGCGACCCTTATTTTGGCGATCAGACGAACCCTTGAGACACTTTTGACGCGCCCCTTCCTTTAAGGGCCGATTAAGGGGTAAGGGGTAAGTTGCACACATCTGGAACCCGAGGCTGCGGCTAGATATTGACCCGGGGAATCGATTGCGACCCTTATTTTGGCGATCAGACGAACCCTTGAGGCACTTTTGACGCGCCCCTTCCTTTAAGGGCCGATTAAGGGGTAAGGGGTAAGTTGCACACATCTGGAACCCGAGGCTGCGGCTAGATATTGACCCGGGGAATCGATTGCGACCCTTATTTTGGCGATCAGACGAACCCTTGAGGCACTTTTGACGCGCCCCTTCCTTTAAGGGCCGATTAAGGGGTAAGGGGTAAGTTGCACACATCTGGAACCCGAGACTGCGGCTAGATATTGACCCGGGGAATCGAATGCGACCCTTATTTTGGCGCTCAGACGAACCCTTGAGGCACTTTTGACGCGCCCCTTCCTTTAAGGGCCGATTAAGGGGTAAGGGGTAAGTTGCACACATCTGGAACCCAAGGCTGCGGCTAGATATTGACCCGGGGAATCGATTGCGACCCTTATTTTGGCGATCAGACGAACCCTTGAGGCACTTTTAACGCGCCCCTTCCTTTAAGGGCCGATTAAGGGGTAAGGGGTAAGTTGCACACATCTGGAACCCGAGGCTGCGGCTAGATATTGACCCGGGGAATCGATTGCGACCCTTATTTTGGCGATCAGACGAAACCTTGAGGCACTTTTAACGCGCCCCTTCCTTTAAGGGCCGATTAAGGGGTAAGGGGTAAGTTGCACACATCTGGAACCCGAGGCTGCGGCTAGATATTGACCCGGGGAATCGATTGCGACCCTTATTTTGGCGATCAGACGAACCCTTGAGGCACTTTTGACGCGCCCCTTCCTTTAAGGGCCGATTAAGGGGTAAGGGGTAAGTTGCACACATCTGGAACCCGAGGCTGCGGCTAGATATTGACCCGGGGAATCGATTGCGACCCTTATTTTGGCGATCAGACGAACCCTTGAGGCACTTTTGACGCGCCCCTTCCTTTAAGGGCCGATTAAGGGGTAAGGGGTAAGTTGCACACATCTGGAACCCGAGGCTGCGGCTAGATATTGACCCGGGGAATCGATTGCGACCCTTATTTTGGCGATCAGACGAACCCTTGAGGCACTTTTGACGCGCCCCTTCCTTTAAGGGCCGATTAAGGGGTAAGGGGTAAGTTGCACACATCTGGAACCCGAGGCTGCGGCTAGATATTGACCCGGGGAATCGATTGCGACCCTTATTTTGGCGATCAGACGAACCCTTGAGGCACTTTTGACGCGCCCCTTCCTTTAAGGGCCGATTAAGGGGTAAGGGGTAAGTTGCACACATCTGGAACCCGAGACTGCGGCTAGATATTGACCCGAGGAATCGATTGCGACCCTTATTTTGGCGATCAGACGAACCCTTGAGGCACTTTTGACGCTTCCCTTCCTTTAAGGGCCGATTAAGGGGTAAGGGGTAAGTTGCACACATCTGGAACCCGAGGCTGCGGCTAGATATTGACCCGGGGAATCGATTGCGACCCTTATTTTGGCGATCAGACGAAACCTTGAGGCACTTTTGACGCGCCCCTTCCTTTAAGGGCCGATTAAGGGGTAAGGGGTAAGTTGCACACATCTGGAACCCGAGGCTGCGGCTAGATATTGACCCGGGGAATCGATTGCGACCCTTATTTTGGCGATCAGACGAACCCTTGAGGCACTTTTGACGCGCCCCTTCCTTTAAGGGCCGATTAAGGGGTAAGGGGTAAGTTGCACACATCTGGAACCCGAGGCTGCGGCTAGATATTGACCCGGGGAATCGATTGCGACCCTTATTTTGGCGATCAGACGAACCCTTGAGGCACTTTTGACGCGCCCCTTCCTTTAAGGGCCGATTAAGGGGTAAGGGGTAAGTTGCACACATCTGGAACCCGAGGCTGCGGCTAGATATTGACCCGGGGAATCGATTGCGACCCTTATTTTGGCGATCAGACGAACCCTTGAGGCACTTTTAACGCGCCCCTTCCTTTAAGGGCCGATTAAGGGGTAAGGGGTAAGTTGCACACATCTGGAACCCGAGGCTGCGGCTAGATATTGACCCGGGGAATCGATTGCGACCCTTATTTTGGCGATCAGACGAACCCTTGAGGCACTTTTGACGCGCCCCTTCCTTTAAGGGCCGATTAAGGGGTAAGGGGTAAGTTGCACACATCTGGAACCCGAGGCTGCGGCTAGATATTGACCCGGGGAATCGATTGCGACCCTTATTTTGGCGATCAGACGAACCCTTGAGGCACTTTTGACGCGCCCCTTCCTTTAACCCTCGCCCGTAAACGGCGATCTGCCACCTTCGCCCATGCAGGGGGGGGGGGGTTGGTGCGACCCCCCCCCCTTGGCGTTTGAAAACGGAGCGTCGTAGAGCTTAGCGGAAAAGACCAACGGATTGCTCTCGCCGAGATCTCGCGATTGGTGGTATAGTTTTTGGTCCTAGGTCAACATTTGACCTACTTTTGACCGGTCAAAGGTCAAATTTTCGGAAAAATAGACTTTTTTCAACTTTCCGCGGCGATTGCGGCAAAACGGTTGGAGATATCGACTTGAAACCTTCACTATCGTGTTCCTTGATCAATTCTCTATCGTTTGGTATGTATTTCGTTTCCCTAGCTCTAAAAATGGCGCGTTGGGAGCGCCGGAAGTCGGCAAGGTCACAGTCGGCGGCAGAAATTCGAAAAATCAAAATTTAAATTTTTGAAATCTGATTGTATTTTTGGATTTGGAAGGTCCATTTGCTCCCTATAGAAGCTAATATTGCTGCATATTACCATTGAGGTGACAAGAATTAGCAAAATAGTGGTTCGGGCGCTTTTCAAAAATAGTACCGGACGCTGTTCCTCTTGTGACGTCATAGCTCCGTGACCTGACCTGACCCGGTCAAGTTTCTTATACCATATGATAGCCAATACCTACTTGCCCCAACATGCATGGGAAGTTTCATCACGATCCATCAACCGATGTCCGTACCACCGGCAGGAAACCTCGGGCGTTGGCACTCAGTTTGTGAAAATCCGGCCGGAGGCTGTTCCCTTTGTGACGTCATAACTCCGTGACCTGACATGACCCGGTCAAATTTTTTTATCAAAAGATGCGCAAGGTTTGCCCCATAAGGTACCCAAAATTTGGCGGCGCTGCGCGCCGCCGTTTTTGCACTATTTCCGAAAACCTCAGGGGGGGGGGGGTTGCACCAACCGCCCCCTACATGGGCGAGGGTTAAGGGCCGATTAAGGGGTAAGGGGTAAGTTGCACACATCTGGAACCCGAGGCTGCGGCTAGATATTGACCCGGGGAATCGATTGCGACCCTTATTTTGGCGATCAGACGAACCCTTGAGGCACTTTTAACGCGCCCCTTCCTTTAAGGGCCGATTAAGGGGTAAGGGGTAAGTTGCACACATCTCGAACCCGAGGCTGCGGCTAGATATTGACCCGGGGAATCGATTGCGACCCTTATTTTGGCGATCAGACGAACCCTTGAGGCACTTTTGACGCGCCCCTTCCTTTAAGGGCCGATTAAGGGGTAAGGGGTAAGTTGCACACATCTGGAACCCGAGGCTGCGGCTAGATATTGACCCGAGGAATCGATTGCGACCCTTATTTTGGCGATCAGACGAACCCTTGAGACACTTTTGACGCGCCCCTTCCTTTAAGGGCCGATTAAGGGGTAAGGGGTAAGTTGCACACATCTGGAACCCGAGGCTGCGGCTAGATATTGACCCGGGGAATCGATTGCGACCCTTATTTTGGCGATCAGACGAACCCTTGAGGCACTTTTGACGCGCCCCTTCCTTTAAGGGCCGATTAAGGGGTAAGGGGTAAGTTGCACACATCTGGAACCCGAGGCTGCGTTTAGATATTGACCCGAGGAATCGATTGCGACCCTTATTTTGGCGATCAGACGAACCCTTGAGACACTTTTGACGCGCCCCTTCCTTTAAGGGCCGATTAAGGGGTAAGGGGTAAGTTGCACACATCTGGAACCCGAGGCTGCGGCTAGATATTGACCCGGGGAATCGATTGCGACCCTTATTTTGGCGATCAGACGAACCCTTGAGGCACTTTTGACGCGCCCCTTCCTTTAAGGGCCGATTAAGGGGTAAGGGGTAAGTTGGACACATCTGGAACCCGAGGCTGCGGCTAGATATTGACCCGGGGAATCGATTGCGACCGTTATTTTGGAGATCAGACGAACCCTTGAGGCACTTTTGACGCGCCCCTTCCTTTAAGGGCCGATTAAGGGGTAAGGGGTAAGTTGCACACATCTGGAACCCGAGGCTGCGGCTAGATATTGACCCGGGGAATCGATTGCGACCCTTATTTTGGCGATCAGACGAACCCTTGAGGCACTTTTGACGCGCCCCTTCCTTTAAGGGCCGATTAAGGGGTAAGGGGTAAGTTGGACACATCTGGAACCCGAGGCTGCGGCTAGATATTGACCCGGGGAATCGATTGCGACCGTTATTTTGGAGATCAGACGAACCCTTGAGGCACTTTTGACGCGCCCCTTCCTTTAAGGGCCGATTAAGGGGTAAGGGGTAAGTTGCACACATCTGGAACCCGAGGCTGCGGCTAGATATTGACCCGGGGAATCGATTGCGACCCTTATTTTGGCGATCAGACGAACCCTTGAGGCACTTTTGACGCGCCCCTTCCTTTAAGGGCCGATTAAGGGGTAAGGGGTAAGTTGCACACATCTGGAACCCGAGGCTGCGGCTAGATATTGACCCGGGGAATCGATTGCGACCCTTATTTTGGCGATCAGACGAACCCTTGAGGCACTTTTGACGCGCCCCTTCCTTTAAGGGCCGATTAAGGGGTAAGGGGTAAGTTGCACACATCTGGAACCCGAGACTGCGGCTAGATATTGACCCGAGGAATCGATTGCGACCCTTATTTTGGCGATCAGACGAACCCTTGAGGCACTTTTGACGCGCCCCTTCCTTTAAGGGCCGATTAAGGGGTAAGGGGTAAGTTGCACACATCTGGAACCCGAGGCTGCGGCTAGATATTGACCCGGGGAATCGATTGCGACCCTTATTTTGGCGATCAGTCGAACCCTTGAGGCACTTTTGACGCGCCCCTTCCTTTAAGGGCCGATTAAGGGGTAAGGGATAAGTTGCACACATCTGGAACCCGAGGCTGCGGCTAGATATTGACCCGGGGAATCGATTGCGACCCTTATTTTGGCGATCAGACGAACCCTTGAGGCACTTTTGACGCGCGCCTTCCTTTAAGGGCCGATTAAGGGGTAAGGGGTAAGTTGCACACATCTGGAACCCGAGGCTGCGGCTAGATATTGACCCGGGGAATCGATTGCGACCCTTATTTTGGCGATCAGACGAACCCTTGAGGCACTTTTGACGCGCCCCTTCCTTTAAGGGCCGATTAAGGGGTAAGGGGTAAGAGGCCAAATAAGTAAGGCCAAATAAAGGTCATATTCTTGCTCCCCGTCCCCCAATTGCCCTAAAATGAGTTCTTTAAGCGATTCTGAATCCGACGCTGTATTCGTTGCTGTTGCTGACGCTAACTTCACGGACATCCACCAGGACCACCTGGCCTGTTTTCTGCCGGGCACGCTGGCGCTGAGCGTGCGACTGGGCCTGCCGCCGTCCTACATGAAGCTGGCCGAGGAGCTGATGTACACGTGCTACCTCACCTACAGCCGTCAGGCCACCGGACTGGCGCCAGAGATCACCTACTTCAACATGAACGTGAGTCGCGGTGGGGCTGGGATCGGGGATTAGGGACCGGGGTGGCGCCAGAGATCACCTACTTCAACATGAACGTGAGTCGCGGTGGGGCTGGGATCGTGGGTCAGGGACCGGACTGGCGCCAGAGATCACCTACTTCAACATGAACGTGAGTCGCGGTGGGGGCTGAGCTCGGGGATCAGGGACCGGGGTGGCGCCAGAGATAACCTACTTCAACATGAACGTGGCCGGGATGGGCGCTGCCGCTGGGATCGTGGGTCAGGGTGGCACCAGAGACTAGCGCGCCCTATTCCAGTGCCGGATGGTGGAGCTGGATACTGTACGGTTTTGCAGATGCTAGAAAGGTGTAGCGTGACCTTGTACGAGGGGGTACCGAAAAGTTCTGATCATCACACAGAAGTTATATTAAATTTCAATCATTTTTTGTTGGTGTTGTATTTGGTCCTTAAGAACAATGCTCATGCAGAAAAAAAAAATCCTGAAAAGCAGTTTTATCTTATGTCGGAAAGACTTCGAAATAAAAAAGATGCGCAATGAGTTCGGCCCATTGAGGACCGAACCGTCATCCAACTAATGCATTAAAAGGGTATTACACTGAGAAAATGCATTAGGAAAGTGAAAGTAGCTTATGGCGAAAAAAAATCTTATGCACTTACCGTAAAATGCAAAATATTTTTTTCAAATTGCATGGCTCTTGCAGGGGAGTCAAGAACCGGGTGACTACCAAAGACTGACAAGGTGGTGATTGTGAAGGAAGTGGAGGACCTCATCCTTGCAGATCGTCGTGTGACCTTCCAAATGATCATGCATCAGAATGGTCTTAATGTTAGCAGTGCCTGTTACGCACGATAAAGGTGTCAACCTCCCTAGGAGCTCATGTGTTGACTTTGTTTAACCCTCGCCGGCTTGGGGCACCTTTTTAGAAAATTGAAGGTATCTTCGATCGTTTGGTGACCTTGACGAATGTTGCGTGTACGTATTTGATGCAGAGGCAAAAGAAATAATCAAGAAGTTGAAGCACAGCACATCTGCCCTTCTAAAGGTGACGATACAGAAACCCATATGGAAGGTCAATGTAGTCAGTGTTCTGGGTCTGGCCTGAGGTAGTCATTACCGACTGAATTGATGAGGGTCGGATAATAATTAGCACGTACTAAGCACACTTTTGAAGGGGTTGCGAGATGTCTCCCAGCGGAATCGCTGCCAAAAGGCCGATAGGATGTCTTTCTCCCCGCCGACACGCCCCGCGCTCATTCGACCTGAGCTGAGATTGAAGAAATAGCATGATGTGGGCATTAAATCCTACTGCGTCTAACAAATTCATCTGACCGGGTATTAAGTGACTCTGGATTGTTACAGGAGGCAAATAATACACAGTACGACCGGTGATTTAATGACAGAAATGACGTCATTAATGAGGTGGAGCAGTGATTTACCGGGAAGTGGGAAGGGTTCTACTATGGCGGCCTGAGGCAGCTCAAGAAACGATGGAAAAAATCGTAGTCTTGTGTGGTGACTTGTGGAGAAGTACCTAATGAACATCACGTAAAAAATTAACTTTCTTTCATATCTAGCTCATGGCGATGATCAGAACTTTCCGATACCCCCTCGTGTCGCGCACTGTTTATTTACTTGCGCTTACTTCACCGGAGTTTTGTTCTCGGCGCGGAAGTTCTGAGTGTGGACTGAGGTCACTTCACGGTGGACGTGCTCCAAACACTCATATAACACCAGCTGAGATTGTTCATTACCTACACAATATTCAGTGTGTAGTTGACGCAGTTTTCGATGGCGATTGTTTGAAGGACCTTTATCTTTATCTTTGATTCACCTTTAGGGTAAATAGCTTCCACCCAACGACACGGCTGTTGTCGGAGCTCTGAAGTGTCTCGAACCCGTTGGCCCGACCGCGGATAACCCCGTGTCAGGTGCTGAGGTACCGAAACGATAAGACATTGATCCTTGGAGCCCACTTCAGCCATTACCGACTCAGCTCCACGGTGGCTGTAACCCTTGTCTTTAGACTGCTCCCTGTCTTTATACTTCTCCCGTACTGTTTGTTTTTTTCCTATGTCGAGGTCTCGGCTGAATCTTTACCTTTTATTCCAACCTTGTCCCACCCGACCTCCCTGTTCCTAGCGCTGACCTCCATCCTCTCTCCCCACCCTGTCTGCTCAGCCGGTCTCGTGCTGACCTCTCTCTGTTCAGCTCCTCTCCCTCGCTGACCTCGTCCCGTTATACCACAGCCGGACTCTACGACCGACTTCTACGTGAAGCCGCTGGACGCGCACAGCCTGCTGCGGCCGGAGACGGTGGAGTCGCTGTGGTACCTGTACCACCTGACCGGCAACCGCACCTACCAGGACTGGGGCTGGAACATTTTCCAGGTGAGATGATACATCTACCAGGACTGGGGGTGGAATATTTTCCAGGTGAGATGATACATCTACCAGGACTGGGGGTGGAACATTTTCCAGGTGAGCTTGTGAGCTATTCCCGATCCCTCAACCCTACCATACTGGATGCTGAGGAAGTTCCTTTAAAAGCATTCTTTGTTTTTCGTTCTCTCGTTATTGCCTCCGTTGCACATTTCATTGAGAAGCACTTTCTCCCGCTAAGTTATGACTGTTGATTGCCGAGACCGAGAGACACTCTCCTTCTCCAATCTCCCTGCCGATGTCCAGTGACCCAGTCCCAGCCTCTGACCGTCCCCCTGTCCCGCAGGCGTTTGAGAAGTACGCTCGTGTGCCGACGGGCGGCTACACGAGTATCGGGGACGTGCGTAACCCGGACAATCTCAACCCGCGCGACTCCATGGAGTCGTTCTTCCTCGGCGAGACGCTCAAGTACCTGTACCTGCTCTTCTCCGACGATCAGAGCACTCTGAACCTCAACGACTACGTGTTCAACACGGAGGCGCACCCGCTGCCGGTACTGCGCCGGCCTCCGGCGCCGCCGCCGCGCGCACCGCTGGCCGCCGCGCCGCCGGTGGCCGGGGGCGCCGGACACGACTACATCTGAACTGGGCCCGCCGGTCGGCGGCCAGGACTTCATGTGAGCTCGCTGCAGCTCGTCCTTCTGTGATACATTCAGGCCGGGCGGCCGGGCGCCTGTCCGACTCTGCCTCAGCGATCGGAGATGGGACCGTCGTGTGGACGGTGCCGTGAAGTATGGACGGGACGATACCGTGTGTCGCGTGTGTGACACTGGCAGACGGTGGTGGGAAGGCCGCCGACACTGCCTGTCGTGATGGGTCCTCCCGTTGTGGGACCGCAGCCTCAGATGGGATCGAGTATCGATGGTTACTTACACATCACTGAGCCATAGAGTTATCTCACTTCATGAGAGAGTAGGACTGCGTTAATTTTTGTACATCGCAGCCTGGTCTCTCCGGGGAGTGGACGGCTACCGCCGGGGCAGGCCCCGTGTCGGTCTGGGGAGCTCTGGAGGCCGCCAGGCGCCCGTGGGGAGGGAGGGTTAGGTTGGGGTGGTGGCTTGGTTCGGCAGGGTGATGGTCGCACATTTCGCGGAGTATTTGAGCTTCACTTGTTAAGTTATTATGTTATAGCGGAGGACTTATGACTGATATGTGTATGGGATTTGGGTTGCGGATGTGTTACCCTCGAGGTTTTAGAAATGAACGGTACCGGGGAGGGAGAGAGGAGCCGAGTTGTTACTAACATGTGGCTGCTAATCACTCCATGCGGCAAGGCGGTATTAACTGGCAATGGAAGCCGACATATGTTTGTTCTGTTCAGTGTTTTGCTTAGTTTAAACATCCTATTTAGTTCATGGAGTGTCCATTCATAGAGCTGCTTAGTTATCAAGCACCAGTTTCATGACGTAAGGCACATTTCACTTAGAGGTTGAAGTGTTCATCGAGTGTTCAACCGACAGTATTCAGACATCGATGTTTCAAGTTGGCGACATTGTTCAAGCACATCGCATGGACTGCGATCAATTATGGTATTATGCTGAGGTGCTATTTTTTCGCAAAATATTACAACAACATGCCTTGTGTGAGCACCACTACCGGCTCAAGTCAGGTCAACTGAGCATGCTCTGGTTTGTACTGAAATATTCAGCGTAGTTGCACCTTTCACACCAGAGGACGTACTAGCGTGGAATGCTGTTGCCGATTTGACCCACGGTCCTCAGTGACCAGTCTCCTCCCGGCACATCACGTGTGCCGTGCCGTGCCGTGAGTACCAGATGTTTTATATGCAGTGACACGTGGTGAGCGGCGCGGCGCACCTCTGATATCGTGCCGTGCCGTGCCTGCGGCTCCGTGCCGTGTGACTACCGTGATGACTGACCGCCGGTCGGCCGGTCGGCGGTCTCCTTACACTGTGTGACCGTCACTCGCGTGGAATCTCTGGTCCGTTAGACGACTGGGACCGCATGTGTGTCATGACAAACGATGTGTGTTAATATACCAGCGTGGTGATGCAGTCTGTTCGTTTTGAGCGGTGGGTTTGATTTGATCCCAGTTGGCTCTTATCCACCCAGTTCTCCATAGAACACACAGACATCACCTCCTCACGCTGTTTTGTCAGTGGTCGGCTCCTGGCCGGGCCAGAGCTACCCCCAGCGGACGGTGGAGCGCCGCTGTGCGCGGGCCGGGCAGTGAGTGGGCGGCCGGGTGGCACGTGCCGGAACGGGTAGCTCCGGTCCCGGCATACGGCAGACCTCAGAGATCACGGACCACACTCACGATCACACCCGCACAGTCACATCACGAGACTGAAATATACACTTGACACTCCACTCATCTGAGGCCTCTTGCACCAAAATCCTCTTGCACCAATGCTTGGATTATTTTGCATCGTATACCCAGTCCAAGTCTCAAATGTAACAATTTGCATGCAAAATTTTGCAAGCACATGTAGGATCATGTATTGGGCTATTGCAAACAAATTTACCACCGTTAGATTAGCTTATTCTGAAACCGGTTTTTTCGATTTTACCTAGCTAGGTAGTTTGGTGCAAGAGGCCTCAGCTCTAGCACATTTCCACATAGCACCTGACAGTCCACGGACAGTCGACATGACTATCCCAAGGTTGGCAGAAGGGCGACCGAAGCACACACCGCACGCCACCCTCCAACGCAACAACGGTAAGCGTATCGTTGGATCGGGCGGCCAGGGCAGGCCGGGCCCGCCGCACGCCGGCTCACGGCGACTCGCGCTCGCTCAACTCACAAACTCAACTCGCACAGAGACCGCGGCGGAGTATGAAACCGGCGCTGCGGAACTGGGCAGTGAAGTGCTGCAGCAACAAACCCGCCAGTTGCGGACAGACAGCCGCGACCGGCGGCCCCGGGACGCGCGGCAGGCCGAACGATGAGCCCGAGGATCCCGAGAATCGCCGAAATAAGAGTAAGGAAATCCTGTCATCCTGTGAATTGAAAAATGACGCACTGACCAACCACACCACGTCTGTCGAGCTGCATTTCTCTGCGGATGTCCATTTAACTGGACAGTATTCCGCACCGCCCGATGACAGAATACCACTGAGCAGACTGGACCGACAGTACTCCGCTCCCGTCTGTCCGATCGACCCACACCGGCCCCCTACCTGCCAGCGCCGCGTAACGCACAGCACACTACAGGAGCTACAAATATTGAGCTTCATTATCTTCTGATTATCGAGAGCAGTGCGGCGCCGGCCGCACGCCGATCCTTCAACGCCGCCACCACGGCCACTGCGCTCAGTAACAGGCTCGGTCTGAACATTATCGAACATTTACGAGCCGCTCCGACTTCAGAAACTGGAATGAGAATCAACACTCTTCATGGCTAGCACCACTCGCGTCATATTTTGCATTCAGATAAAATAGAAATACAAGTTCAACAATTGATACAATTTGAGTACTGAATGAAAATCACTACCTAATTCAACAGCAAACGCATCGAACCACACTTGGCAGGTGAGAGCTCGGTTTCACGTGTTCGTGTCATTGTCGCGCGGCACACGCGCCATCACAGCTGGGCTGCCAATGCCGCCACTTCCGCTCAGGTGCTCGCAACGCGTCCGACTGAGCCTCCGGAGATCACAGGTGTCCGTGCTCTGTAGCCAGTTCCCTCTCTGAGCTTTCCCAGAAGGCGGCGCCTGCCCCGGACCGTCCTACCCAGCGCGCCAGGTCGTCTGACGGGGCTGCGGCCTCCACCGCCGGCGCTGCGTCGTCACGCGCCGGGCCACCCTGCGTGCTGAGCCGGTACGGCTCTGTGTCCAGTGACCTGTCGGTGAGCCAGGCCGGCGCGCGCGGTGGCGGACAGGGCGCGCGGCCCGGCCCCAGGCGTCACGTGCTCAGCTCGGCCGCCAGCGGCTCCAGGTGGTGGTGACTGCGCCGGTCGACCAGGCGCGGCCCGAGTGGGCTGGGCGCCGCCGCGCAGCCGGCCGGCCGCTCCAGCGACGGGTGCAGGCTGACCAGCTCAGGCGCGACCTCCCGAGCTGCTGTAGAGGGGGGGGGGGGGGGGGGGCAGAGTTCAGCTGTGTCACCTTCCACTGTAACTGACCAGCTGGGGCGCGACCTCCCGAGCTGCTACAGGGGGGGGGGGGGCGCAGGTCAGCCGTGTGACATCACTGTAACTGACCAGCTAAGGCCCTACCTCCCGAGCTGCTGTAGAGGGGGGGGGCACAGGGGGGGGGGGGGGCACAGGTCAGCTGTGTGACCTCCGGCTGTAACTGACCAACTCAGGCCCAAGACCCCGCGCTGCTGCCGGCAGGACGACACCGGGTCAGCTGTGAACACTGGCCAGCTCACTGCGATGTCAGAGAGAGGAAAGACAGAAAAACGGTGCAGCTGTGGTGTTCGGAAGGACGGTTAGGGAGACGTCATCAGGGACTTCTCGCTGCTGTTGGGAGAGGGTCAAGACTTTGTGCCAGTCCGCACAGCAGCTGGGTCGACGGGCATCGGCAGCACGCGTGTCTTACCAGCCAGGCAACAGTCACACAGCTGGGTCTGTTAATCACCTTAGCGACCCACATAGCGAGACCCAAGAGCCGACTCCCTTCGAACAGTTATGTAAAAGCCATGATTACTTACCAAGATTCGAAGCGGAATAAGACATATTTTCTGAAGTCATCTGAGTTAGGTACCATTTCACTAGCGTAACCAGGCTGCAATGAAGCTGCACTGACATTACATAATCAAATAACAAATTACATAATCCGTAATAACAGCTGGCATATCTATATTACATGCTCCTCTTCATGATACATGTAGAAAAATACGGCCCCCGTATCTTACAGAAGCATTGGCACATGGGGTGGGCGCACTATCACATCCAACGTCGGAACCACGGAAGGCACAGGCGACCACCGAACACATAAATCGAGTGAACATTAGGCATGCGGGAACAGGCGACGATCCACGCTCATGCTGACGATTTTCGGGGATAATGTTGAAAATTACCATTCAGTAACAACACAAAACTACGAGACGCGATCCCGGGTCCGGAGACAGATGATAATGAACGCTATCTACCCATCCAGCATTCAACATACAGCACATTCACATCTGCAAAACGAGCGATATATGAACGAGCGAATGTCCTCCGCCGCACATTGCACTATCAAGGCCAGATGAGCTGCTATCATCCGCAGCAGCTGTCCCAGAGTCGCTATCCGCGTTAATCAACGCTGCGTTCCCCCGATAAGTAGCAGTATATAGGCACCCCAAGATCAGGGCACCATAGTCTCCGCCCCACCGGAGTCCCCCGGCGCTGTCTTGTACCGCGGCCGGTCTCCTGACGGCCCGGTGCGCCCGTCGATAAGTACTCCATCCACCGTGCTAGTCACGGCCACATTACACCGTGCCCGCGGCCGATACCGGCCGACAACCAAATCGGCCATCATTAGCAGGATAAACAGAGCGGCCGGGCCGTCGGGCCGCCCGCCGCTACAGCATGCCAATATCGCGACACATGCCGTCTACTGGATGGTCGGAACAAGCATGCACGCAAGCCGGATGTAATAGATGGGGGTACAGACACGGCTGAGGAGAATGGCAGACCCCCGGGGCAGGTCAGAGGTCAGAGGTCACAGGCCAGAGGTCACCGGTCACAGGTCACCAGCTGAGGGTCAATGCTAACTGTCAGAGCCAGGCGATGCAGCGCTGATGCTTGTATAATCGTTCGAGCATCCGCCGCTGTTTTGTCTCTGATCAGAGTCGGACGGTATAGATAACTTGACTGGGTGCTGTTTACTGACCACGCACTAAGTGGATGATAGGCTGAGCGCTATCAGCTAGAGATACAAACCTCTCGAGAATGGCATTCCGTGACCTCAGTGGCCCTCGGGTAAGGACTGTGAACTCAGCGGCCTCCGGCTAAGGACGAACTGCCACTTCAGAGGCCGTGACGAGGCACAGCGAGCGTGACTCGACCAGAAACGACAGCTTTTTTGGCTTTGAGGTGGCGTTACCAGGCCATGCCATGAGGCATGTGACAAGGCACGAGGTCTGTTGTGTAACAACAGGTATTGGTTTAGCTGGGCTAAATTTGCAAATGTCATGCCATCCTTGTAATCTGGAAATTTACTATAGTCCTGTAAAAAGGACGGATCAAAGTCGAATAACTCCCACCGTTCGAGTTCCGGTTAGCTCTGACCAGTGTCTCTCTGACATATTCCGACCGCCTGCCCTGGGGCCAGGCCTCCATCACACACACATGCTCTACGGGGCACACCGATACAGAGGCGCCGGGCGCGCGGCGCGTGCCTTACAGGGCGGCACGTAGCGGGCCTCGAGCAGGGGCGGCACCTCGAACCGCGCCGCCGCCGCCGGCTGGGAGCCGTTGGTGATCGGCCTGCAACCGGCCGGGTGACGGTCACTCGCGTCACGCAGCCCCAGACGTGACGCGTCACGGCAAACAGCGTCACACAGCGCGCGGCACCACACACGCACACACAGACACACACACACGCGGGCCCGCAGCGGTGGGCGGTGCGGGCGGGCAGAGACACGGCGGCTACAGCTGCGAGCTAGACTCGAACGCGCCGTTGTCAGTGCCCGCGTCGGTCTTGTACTGCTGCTGCTGCTGCTCGGGCACCAGTCTGCAACAGAGCGGACGGGGCGGGAGGTAGGTGGGAGACACACCATGCGGGGTGCTCACCTGAAGCCATCTTCGTCCAGCATCAGCTCGCTCCCACTGGGCAGCCGGAACAGCCAGGGGCGGTCAGACACGGCGCCGAGCTCAGGGCACACGGCCGGTAGAACGGTGGCGGAAGGCCAATGGTGTCTAAACCTACAACTGGTTCATCAAGCAAAGATCGGCAAGTACCGCAAAGTGGTTCTCTCTGTCAACGTAGTGGCTTGATTGACACAGCTTTTCTAGTGATACTTGCTTTCATATAAATTGGTTCAACCCATCAAGTGCCATCATGACAGCACAAGAGTTTGGAATCAAACCCAAAAGCACTAAATCCATCACCTATCATAACGGCACCC